CACCATCACCTCAACGCAAAAGGAGCCACAGAAGCGAGGCCGGAGCTTGGACAGAAGGTGAGATAAGTCCAAGTTGCGTGTGTCGAGAAGCACCTGATCTCCGACTGCTACTGAGTGATCTTGTCGCTTGCAATCGGCATACTGCTTCTTGGAGTTCTGCATCGTGGGAAGACGGCGCTGAGTCTTCTCTCATAGCTCTTGCATGGTGGTGACGAAGTCATGTGCGGCTTGGACATATGCCAGTGTGGTTGGTTGCTGTGGTGTAAGTGGTTTCGTCCGTAGCACATGAAGTAAGAAGATGTCCGTGTGGCCGCATGCTTTGTTGTTGTAAGCGAACTCAAGCGTCGGTAACTGTATATCCTAGTGGCTGATGTCGTCTTTGAAAGTTGTGCGCAGTAACTATTTAACCACCTGTTTGTTCAGTGCGTGGTAGTCAATGCACATCCGTAATCTGCCGTCTGGCTTTGGAGTGAAGATAACTGGTGCACCATAGGGAGAGGTGGATGGGCGGATCAGTTGTCTATCCAGTAGATACTCCAATTTTTTCTTCATGTTTGTCAGCTCGGTCGGACTCAGTCGGTATGGTGCACGTGAGACGGGTTTCGCACCTGGTTCCTCCACGATCTCGTGCTCGTGGGTGCATACTGGAGGTACGCCTACAGGTAGGTCGTTGGGCAATATATCCTTCTACTGCTCCAAGACCTCCTTCAATGCTACAGGTAGCTCTGTGTTCGGCTTCTCCTCTTGTGAAGCTGTCATAACCAGTGCTAAGTAACCTGTTTTACTCTCGTTCACTGTCTGTTCGAACCAAACCACTGTCATTTCAGGAACGCTCCCTGTATCCGTCCAGCTTCGCAGCTCCACTCGTTTCCCGTTGTTGTAGATGCACGCCTTCCTGTTGGCCCAGTCGATCGCGGGGTTGAACCGCTTCAAGATATTTTGCCCCAAGATGAAATCTAAACCCTTGATGTTCGTGATCGACGTCGGCTTCCACCTCAGCGCTCCTATTTGCAGCTGCAATGATGCTTCACCGTGGATGGGAAGTTTCGTACCGTCCACCATAGTTGCCGTCAATTTGGTCTCCTCCGAAGGTTCTCCAATTTTCTCCAACGTCCTGCGGTCGCACACCGAGTGAGACGCACCGCTGTCCACTAGTGTCTGGAGGCGTCGCCCATTGCAGATTACCTTGAGTAGTAGTGGTTGTTTCCACTCCGAGTAACTGTAGATGGTATCGCTTATATGATCATAGGGTACGTCAAATATATCTCCCCTAGGCGCTGCGCTCGAAGCTGCTGACTCTATATCAGTTTTCAACTGAGTAGGTTAGAAGGATTTATGCGAGGCCGATTCAGCTTCGTCTTGGCCTGGAATCTTCCCCTAAACCTTTGCAGCTGTGTAGGCTAATGGAAAGCGCGTGAATCTGGAGAGCGTACAAGAGATTAAGTCCGCCGACTTTGACGGAACATTGCGTGCAGCTCACGTAACCTTAAACTATGAGAAGGTACGCGTTGGAACGGTCTTAATCTCTACTTTCCAGAATGCTAATGCACCCTTTAAACCAAGATCTAGGCCGATCGCTATCACGATTTAAGTGCGACAATGTATTCTGGCGGAATTAGTAGGCAGCCATGGATTAGACCAAAAGACTAGCTTTAGCAAGAGTTCAGATCTGAAAAGTGACGAGTTGTTCAAACCCTACCAACCCAACCCTCGCCCTACAACCATCTTCAACAACCCAAAGTGCTAAACTAGCAACACCAAAGGTGTTGTAGTGAATAGCAAAGGTTTGTTGGTGCTTGTTGGGTGCGAGATCAATACCAGCCCGCAACAAGTCTAACCACCACATTTTGCCCAAACCCTTAGCCCACAACCAGCTAGAGCAAAATACCACAACCACCTATACAATCAACATAGGCTTCACTTGTGGGCAATGGGGAGCCTTAACACTGTGTTGCGGGGAGATAATATCAACTCCTTGGAACGCACGACCCTTTTCAACGCTACGGAGTGGTTTTCCCAACTTCTTAGGTACCTTAATATTCTCTAAAGGCTTTTTCTTGGCCTTAAAAATCTCCCCTGAATTATTCACAGGCTTGAAAACCTCGAGAGGAAATATTCTTACTCTCGGGGGTGTTCGAATGGAGTTTCCCGGTCGGTGCAGAGTCTTGTTTCGCGGAGCCTCCATTTCTCTCGGCAATTTCCCCTGTTGCCGGCCAGTCGTGACGTTTTAAATTCGCGCCATCATGTCCTCCTTTTTTCGCCCGCTCCGAAGTCGCCACTGATGAGAAATGAAAATGGATGAATGAACTATGAAACAGTTGGGTACAAGTACTAACCCTAATTGGGTTGTACCCCTTATGGGCTACCCCACTACATCCTACACAAATGTATAAGCTATAATGTTCTGACACACCCCCATAGGCAAAGTGGGGGAGAACAAGCGGTCACAAGACCAGACAAGCAGAACAAAGCAAGCTCAGGGTGGATGACAAAGTCACAACACAGTCCGAGCACAAGAGTAAGGCGACAAGGCCAGTTCACATGCAAGAACATATATGTAAAGGTAAACAATCAAGCGCAGGTATAGAAAGAGTACAGTACAAACAAGATCAAGAAGTGACCAAGTGAGGCCAGGTAGGCACAAGACCTAGCAAAGTACAGAAGCGCTGATGATCACAAAGCGGAAGGGCCTTGGTGAAGATATCAGCAGTGTTGGCCTCAGAGGTCACGTAGGTGAGACGGAGCTGACCACGCTGCTGCAGCTCACGAGCCAGGAAGTAACGAAGAGCAATGTGCTTCATTCTGTGCTCCAGTCTGTGCTCCAGTCTGTGCTCCCGACACAAGGCCAGCATGGCCTTGTTGTCTACGTTCAGGACTGGAGGAGAACGAGGCGGCTCTCCTAGGTCAGTCAGCAGGTAGGTGAGCAAGCGTAGCTCCAATGCAGCCATGGCCCCTGCGTAGATCTCAGCCTCACAGCTGGAGCTGAGAACAGAAGACGAGCATGTAGACCGCCACGAAACGAAGCCGGAGCCAAGGCTAAAGGTGTAACCCTCTGACGACCGCTGCAGAGCCTGCTCGTCAGCCCAAGAAGCATCAGCATGACCTGTGAGGACTACCCGACGTCGCCCTCCAAGCACTAGCCCCATGCCCGACGTACTACACACGTAGCGCAACACCCTCTTCGTTGCACCCATGTGCTATGGTCTGTGTCTCCCAGGAGCAAAATAGCGTGCCAAGATGCTAAGAGGGTATGCAAGGTCAGGTCGTGTGCAGGTCATCAGGTACATGAGGCAGCCAACAAGCTCTGGGTACGGGCCACTCGACTCTACAGACTCATCCGAAGGCAGAGCTGAGAGCGAGTGGCGAGTAGACAGAGGAGTGGCCTGAGGTGAGGAGTACGTTAAGCCGAAGCGCTGAAGGACCTGCTGCACCATATATGACTGAGTCAACGTAATGGTGCGGTGTGCTCTGTCCAAGGTGATCTGCAAGCCAAGGTAGCTGCGCAGTTCACCCAGGTCTATGCACGTGTCTCTCTTCTACAGCTCCGACTTCACGTGGGCGAGTCCAGCATTGTCAGCAGTGGCAAAGACCAAGTCGTCGACATACACGAGGATGTAGAACGGCGGCAGAGAGGTGTCGGTGCGCAGAAACAGTGACGGGTCGGCTGTAGAAGGAGCAAACCCAAGAGCCGCAACTGTAGTCCTCAGTGTGTCGTGCCACTCACGGGGCGCATGGCGGAGACCGTAGACTGGCCGCCGGAGACTCCACTGGATACTAGGAAGAAACGACCCAGTGAAGCCAGGAGGGCGGCGCAGCCAGATCTCCTCATGCAGGCTGCCCTGCAGGAAAGCTGTGCTGGAGTCAAGAGAGTGAAGCTCGTAGTCGCGCTCAGCGGCTATGTGCAGCAGCACCCGAAGAGTGGTCATCTTCGGCGTGGGAGAGAAGGACTGAAAGTAGTCAACTCCCTGCCGCTGACTGAAGCCTCGAGCCACGTAACGCGCCTTGAAGACAGGCGGAGAACCCGGCGACCGCTTCACCCTGAAAATCCCCATGCCACTGACGATGTTCGCCCCAGGTGGGGGAACCTCGTCAACGTAGGTGCCAATTGACTTCCAGGAAGCCATCTCTGCGTCCATGGCCGACTGCCACTGAGAGGAGTAGGGACCCTCGAACGCCTCAGCGTACGATCCAGGAGTCGGGATGTCTGGTGCATCCGGGTCTCCCTCAGGGGCAATCAGCGTCGACACGAGATGGGGCAAAGCAGCAGCAAAACATTGGAACTCCTCCTGCCTCTCCTCAAGGACGTCCGTGCTAAGAGCACACTCACCCCCGACGGACCGAGGACAGACAGACTCAGACTCAGCAACAAGACTAGCAGCGTAGTCTAGACGACAGCGAGTAGCAAAGTCAACAAGCTCAGCAACCAAGGCAGACGCAGCAGTGGACTCAAAGGAAGGGTCAGTGACAACAGTAGCAAGAGGGCGCATGACCGAAGGACTAGCAGCACGAAGGGAGTCAGACTCCGGGTCAGCAAGAGAAGGAAGAGAGGACTCTGGAGGAGACGGCAACGGGACACGCAGAGGAGCAGTGGAAGGACGCAGTGCCATCTAGTGTGTGCCGGGGACCGCAGGAGGACACGTACGCGCAGCACGACCACTAGTGCGAGCAGCACGAACAGGCAACGCAGGACGAGACGCAGGCTCATGACGCTCAGCAAGACCTCCAGTAGGACAGTTGTAGGGAGAAGGAGCAGGGAGAGGGGAAGCAAGCTGTAACTGTGACTGCATCTGGACAGGCTGAGGACACGTAACGCGCCTTGAAGACAGGCGGAGAACCTGGCGGCCGCTTCAACCTGAAAATCCACATGCCACTTAGGATGTTTGCCCCAAGTGGGGGAACCTCATCGACGTAGGTGCCTTTGGACTTCCGGGAAGCCATCTCTGCGTCCATGGCCGACTGCCACTGAGAGGAGTAGGGACCCTTGATCGCCTCAGCTATGATCAAGGAAACGGGATGTCTGGTGCATCCGGGTCTCCCTCAGGGGCAATCAGCATGGACACGAGATGGAGAAAATCAGCCGCAAAGCACTGGAACTCCTCCTGCCTGTCCTCAAGGACGTCCGTGCTAAGAGTACACTCACCCCCGACGGACGGAGGACAGACAGACTCAGACTCAGCAACGAGACTGGCAGCGTAGTCTAGACGACAGCGAGCAGCGAAGTCGACAAGCTCAGCAACTAGAGCAGACGCAGCAGTGGACTCAAAGGAAGGGTTAGTGACAAGAGTAGCAAGAAGGCACGTGACCGAAAGACTAGCAGCTCGAAGGGAGTCAGAATCCGGGTCAGCAAGAGAAGGAAGAGAGGACTCTGGAGGAGACGGCAACGGGACACGCAGAGGAGCAGTGGAAGGACGCAGTGCCATCTGGTGTGTGCCGGGGACCGCAGGAGAACGTGGATGCGCAGCATGACAACTAGTGCGAGCAGCACGAACAGGCGATGCAGGACGAGACGCACGCTCAGACGCTCAACAAGACCTCCAGTAGGAGCAGTGTAGGGAGAAGGAGTAGGTAGCGGGGAGGCAGGCTGTAACTGTGACTGCGACTGGACAGGCTGTGGACACTCTAAGGGAGGAGCAAGACCAGGAGAGGGCGGGAGACCAAGAACCTGCTCCAGGAGCGGAACAAAGTACGGCCTCAGCCGCTCAACGCCTCCAGAACCAGCAAGGACGGCGCCGGTACCCCCAGCGGCAGCACCAGCGCCACCAGCACCTCCAGCTCCAACAGCGCCAACTCCAGCACCCTCACAAGCACCAGCGCCAGCACCATCGCCAGCGCCAGCACCCCCAGCAGCTCCAGCTTCAGCAGCACCAACTCAAGTAGAACCGTCAGCACCACCAGCCTCAGCAGCACCCACAGACGCACCAGCACCTGTAGAAACACCAGCGCCAACACCCCCAGCAGCTCCACCTCAAGTAGCACCAGCACCGCCAGCAGCTCCAGCATGACCAGCTCCAGTAGCTCCATCAGCACCCCAAGTCTCACTAGCACGTCTCCAGCGGCGGGCAAACCACTCGCACAGCTCGTGTGGAGAGAGCGGCTCCCGCCTCGACGAAGTACCGCTGGCGGCCACACGAGCAGACCGAACACCCCCAGGCTCCACACCCCCAGGCTCAGCTCCCCCAGGCTCAGAGCCCCTAGGCTCAGCACCCCCAGTGTCAGCACCCCTAGACTCAGCACCCTCAGACCCGGCACCCGCACACTCAGCACATCTAGCTGCACCAGAGTGAACAGCTACCTCGACAGGCTCGACTGCGTCTACCTGGGACACACCTGACGGGGCAGGACCCTGAGGGGTGAGGGGGTCTACCTGGGGAGGACCTGGAGCAAGGAAGAGCGGCGGCGGGGGGAGGGGCGCAGTGCGGTAGGGGAAGACACGGTAGTAAGGCACCGACTCGTGAAAGGTGACGTCCTGGGAGGACAGAACACGGCGCAAGGTGGGGTGGTAAAACTGCCACACAGGCGCGACAGGGGGGGAGCCAAGGAAGACGCAGGGAACTGCACGGGGGGACAGCTTCTCCTCAGACAATTCGCGGACAAACGCCCGACATCCCCAGACCCGAAACACAGACGCATTGCCAACCTTCCCTGTCCACCGCAGGGTGGGGGAGGTCTCTTGCAAGGAGACGCGGGACTGAAGGTTGAGCTGATGCGCGGCGTATTGAACCGCAAACGACCACAAAAAAAGGGGGGCAGCTGCATGCATCATGGACGTACGAGCGACGTCCATGACCATGCCAATGCGGCGCTCAGCAATCCCATTTTTCTGTGGAGAGGCCGGAAGCGTGAAGGTCTGGCGGATGCCCTGTGCACGACAGAAGGCTCCTAGACGGGCAGAGGAAAACTTCCCGCCTCTGTCCGAGTGCAGACGCAGAACAAGAAAGTCCGAGCCGAAACTCTCTCTGAGCTGGAGACGAGCTGCGCGGATCCAATCGATCAGCACCTCAGTGACGTCACCCTTGCTGCGCAAGGGGAAGACTGTGGTGTAACGCGAGTAGTCATCAACCACCAGCAGAAAGTACCGCTCACGTCCCTGCCCACTCCCCACACGTCCATGTGGAGAGTCTGCAGCGGAGCCTCTGTCGGAGGAAACTCAGAGGAGTGAGGGGCGGCGCGCTGTCGCCCCTCGACGCAGGTAGGGCCAGCCATGGAGGAAGGGGAGGGAGAGACCGAGGGAGACCAGAGACAAGGACACGGGAGGCCATGCCTCGGAGACGAGGCAAGGAGGGGTGACCAAGGCAGTCGTGCCAAAGGAGAGTCTGGTGGGACAGCAGACGATACGAGCAGGGAGCAGACTCAGGACCAGACCTGGACGCCGCAGCAAACACCTGACTCGACGCAGCTACCTGGGCAGACTTAGCAGTAGGAGGAGACTCAGAAGTAAGGGTGTACAGGCTCGACCCTGGCCGACGGGTGAACGTGGCCAAGTGTCGGCCTGTCCGAGCACACTTGCAGTGGGTCACTCGCAGACTCGCAGGATTGAACTCGTCAACCCCCCTATTCTGTAGGTCCGCTCCACTCACCAAGTTTGTAGAAAATGAGGGGAGGTAGAGACCAGACAGGGTGCCAGAGGGGGCTGCCGGGCACCGTAGGACAGTGGAGAAGCTAGCAAGGACAGGACCCCCAGAGGGGTCTGCAAGGGAGACTGCAACTAGCCGACTGAGCAGCGTAAGAGTGGTGCGGTCTCGAAAGAAGGAGCGGGATGCACCCGAGTCCAGGGTGAAGGTGTGGAAGGCTTGAGCCAACGCAGTACCTAAGAGAGCAGACTCACCAGCACTTGGGGCAGCAGACGCACTAGCACCTAGAGCAGCAGCCTCACCAGCACCTAGAGAAGCGTCCTCAATGCCCGGGTCAGGCGGTACACACAGGTAACAGGCACCCTCAACACTAGTATCAACAGCATACATAGTAGCAAGAATAGCATCAAAGTCAAGATCAAAGATAGCAACCCCGGCCTTAGTCTGATCTCCCCAGCGAGGGATCTCTGACGCCTCAGGGAACTGGCGACGCCACACATCCCTCAGGCGACCAAAGCAGCGCTGGGTGGAGTGCGGGCCTACGCACTGCTCACCAGCTCGGTCGCCGGTACGAAGGACGTAAGCGCAGGGACCAAAACCCCCACCGCGCTGACGCGCAGTGTACCACTCACGAAGCTGCTCAGGGGACAGGGTCACACCACTCCGCTCCTGCTGGCGCTAACCACCACCGGCGCCACTCCTCTGCGCACAGTCGCGACCCGCTCCACCACCGCTGCCTCCGCCACCGCCGCGGCCACTGCCTCCGCCGCCTCCTCTACCTCCGCCTCCTCCACTACCTCCGTCGCCTCCGCTCCCTCCGCCACCTCCACCGCCTCCGCCGCCTCCAGTGCTGCCGCCGCCGCCACCCCCGGCACCACTCCCACCACCACCCCCACTCCCTCCACTGCCTCCACCACCACCTCCACCGACCCCTCCAGCCCCTCCAGCGCCCTTGCCCCCCTTGCCCTTGCTGGTGCGGCGTCTCTCGCTCGGGGCACACGCAGCGCCGACCGACTCGAAACCAACGAGGTCGGCCGCAGCAGCAGAGGCAACAGAGGGCAAGAGGGGGGAGGGAGAACACCCCTCAAAGACGGGGGTGCGAGGGTCACCACGAGAGGCTCCTATAGCGACTATGCTCTTCTCTATCACTAGGAGGGCCTTCTCGAGGAAGTCAACGGTGAAAGTGGTGGGGCAAACTGAGAGGAAGTGGTCCCTTACTACCCGAAGAGATTCACGGAGCCGGGTGACTATGTAGTAGAGGGTGGTGTACATGGGGGGGGGGGGGGGGGGTTCTTGGCGCAGAACTCAGCAGGAAGCGCAGCGCGGTAGCGAGTGTCACTAGTGCGGAGGTGCGTAATGAGGTCAGCGACTGTGGGAAAGGCAGCAAGGTCGGGGAAGAGGTACGGTAGCATGAGGCGGCTCAGTGCAACAGTGGCAGGGGAAGAGTAGCGTGCAACTACAGCGTCGTACAAGGTCTTAGCACTCTTGTACTGGCTAAAGTGTCCACGCTCAGTGGTTGGTAAGTGGCGGCGCACAGCAAGGCGAGCAGCAGCATCGTGCATGGCCCACTGTGAGCGAACAGTGGCATCAGCATCAGCAGCAGGGGCAGGAGAGGCACCAGAAGTGAGGTCAAACAGGGAGAGGCCGTCCTCCCTATCGCACTGGAGAAACAGCTGGAGGTCATCGACCCAGACCTCAAAGTCAACGGCACGGCCCTCAGCATCAAAAGTGAGGACACTGGGGGTAGCCATGAGTGCGGTGGCCTAGGAGGAAGTGAGCTCACCAGTCCGAGGAAGGAGGGGCCGGGGAGCACCGGTAGGAACAGCAGCTGCTAGACAGTAGGGCGGCTCGGTGGCTCGGCGACAAGGCGGCTCGGCTGCAGGGCGGCTCGGCTGCTGGGCGGCTCGGCCGCTAGGGTAGGGCGACGGGGCCGCAGGTGGCGTCGGGGCCACAAGTGGCGACGGGGCCGCAGGTGGCGACGGGGCCGCAGAGGGGCCTAAACGGGGCCGTGAAGGGGCCAGACAGGGCCGTAGCGGGGCTGTAAAGGGGCCAGACGGGGCCGTAAAGGGGCCAGACGGGGCCGCGGAGGGGCCTAGGCGGGGCTGCAAGGGGCCTAGACGGGGCCGTGAAGGGGCGGTAAGGGGCCAGACGGGGCCGCGGAGGGGGCTAGGCGGGGCCGCGGAGGGGCCGTAAGGGGCCTAGGTGGGGCCGTAAGGGGATGTAAGGGGCCAGACGGGGCCGCGGAGGGGCCTAGGCGGGGCCGCGGAGGGGCCCTAAGGGGCCTAGGCGGGGCCGTAAGGGGCCAGACGGGGCCGCGGAGGGGCCTAGGCGAGGCTACGACGGGGCCGTAAGGGGCCAGACGGGGCAGCGGAGGTGCCTAGGCGAGGCCGCGACGGGGCCGTAAGGGGCCTAAGCGGGGCCGTCAGGGGTCAGACAAGGCCGTAAGGGCGGCGCGAGGAGCCGTAGAAGGCGGCGCGAGGGGCCGTTAGGGCGGCCAAAGGGGGGCCACTAAGGGCGGCTCGAGGGTAGGTAAGGCACTCGAAGCGCTACTCGGGTAGGAGCGAAGCGCGCTCTGGGCAGAAAAAAAAAATCGTGGTGGGCCCTAGGCAGCATTCCCACTCGGGAACCTACTCGATACCATGATGAGAAATGAGAATGGATGAATGAACTATGAAAGAGTTGGGTACAAGTACTAACCCTAATTGGGTTGTACCCCTTATGGGCTACCCCACTACAGCCTACACAAATGTATAAGCTATAATGTTCTGACAGCCACGTCTTTTGACTTCAGGGGTGCCACAGTGTTGTTGCCCTTCAGCTCCGCTCGTGCCTTCTTCATTTTCCAACACGACAAGAGTCAACGTCTTGTAGCGCCGCAAAATTCACATTTCTCATATTTTGCCAGCTGCTGCTTAGCGTTGATCTTGTCGATATCCATCGGGTCGGCGGTCGTGGGTGGTGCCGATCAATCCGTGCCGAATGATCTGTTCGGCACGCGTCGTCGTGTTTCGGGTTGACTTTGAGTCAGCGCATCAAATCTCTCTGCTGCACACACCATGTTGCGGTAGTTGTTGTAGTTCGCGGCAATCACCTGTCGGCGGACTTCCATTTTTAGACCCTCAGTATACGCTTGGATTTTTTCCCCTTCGGTCAAATCGGTAATCCGGTTGAAGAGGCTCTCTATCTACTGCGTGTACTGTATTATGCTGCCGTACTATTTCTGCCGATGAATCTGCTGCCGCGCCATGTGGCTGGAATTGATCGGTTCGAAACGTTGAATTAAAGCTGCCCGAAACTGCGTCCATGACCCCTCGCCTCGGACCTCATTGCTATTGTAAATCCACTCGAGCGCCGGGCCTCGTAATAGTGTTGCTGCGAGCCGAATCCGCATTGCATCGTGTGTCCGGGTCGTACAGCCAACGGCCTCGAAGTAAATTTCAAGGGTCGCAATGAATCGATGGACGTCGGTGTCTCTCGCATTCGGATTGAACGTTTCCGGTAGCCTTGGACGTGCCGCCTCAAGATTCACTGTATCCGCTGCTGCTGCTACTGGGTGAAGTTTCGGTGTTGCCGCTGCTGCTGCTACCATTGTGTTGCGTTTGCTGCTGCTGTGGTGGCTGCCGACTGGCTTGCGAGAAGCTCCTCTATTCGCAGGAGTGCTGCTCGCGTCTGGTCAAGGCCGGTTTGTAACTCCGTAATTTTTCGTACGAAATTATCACCATTTTGCTCCATTTGACGATTTACAAGAAGATGTGCGACAAAAATAATTAATTTCTAGGGTTTGGTCCACTCATTGCGAGTCGAATCGACTGTAGAAATGACAAGCGCTGCTTCTGTACATCGCGGAAATCTCCCTTAGTTGCAATTCGCGTCCAATCTCGGCCGTTGAGAAGAATTTCGATCCGACGCTCCAAATTCCATTTCTTTTGGGCGAAATTCTCAGGGTCGTTGAGATTCGTATCGATCTGAGAGTCGAAATTCCAACTTTTTCGCCACTGGACCTGAGGATTGTTCGAAAACCGGTTCGAGGGGGACGTTAGAAAATAGCGCGGAACTGGTTTACGTACCCGAAATCGGCGCTTTCCGTCGTCGCCCCCGCGGTCTTAAAAGCTAGGTTTTAGCGGTCGAAAAACTTCGTGTCTAAACAGGCTCTGATACCAAGTGTGAGGATCTAGGTCGAGCTCAGAAAAGAGAGTTTGAATTGAATGATTCATCTGGATTCAAGGTGAGGCTATATATAGGCTCGACACAAAGGCAGTAACCCGGGTGTTACTAGAAGGTTCCGCATGTCGCGAAGCGTCCCGAACGGGTCCTTCATGAATTAGGTAGAAGGCAATTCAGTGGCAACCGAAAAGCCTAGAATTCGGTGCAATTAACCTAATACGGTGCCTAAAACTGTAATAACTATAGTAGAAGCAACGAACCTAGGAAATTAGGCAAAAGCATGCAAGATAAATTAAACCTAAGCTAGTAATAGCATAATAATGTCCAACAAAGCCGTCGTACTCTCACACGTATCGCAGGCAAGGATGATATCACCCACTGGGATCTCCAGTTACCAGCCCTAGAGTTCGCTTACAACAATGCATCACATGCGCTCACGGCAAAATCTCATTTCTTCTTGTGTTACGTGCGTGAACCAATCACACTGCAGCAGCCAACTGCATGGCACATGGCAAATTCAAGATTGCACCGACAACGCTGGATGGGACTAACATTTTAGTGGGGCTTCATTGGTTACCACTATACAACCCGCAAATTGATTGGACGACAGGCAACTGCAATATGCGAAACGGCGGTAAATGGTTTGCATTACCTTGCTAGAAGTCCCATGGGACTTCAACGGTCCACGTCAACGTTATTATGATAAAGAGGGTTGTTGCTTTAGGGGCTCACATGTACACTGTAGATGTCACAGAGGGAGAAGCCGAGAAGCCTAGCGATTTGCATACACTACTGGCAACCGTACCGCCCGAACGACAAGAGTAACGGTACCTCGGGGTAGTTCCTAACGACTTACCAGGGGGAATGCGACCTCAGCAACCGAACAACCACCAAAAAAAAAAAAAAAAAAAAAAAAAAAAAAAAAAAAAAACGGGAGCACAGCCAATTGTATAGCGACAGTTCTGGCAACAGCACTTAGTTGATTTGAATTTTGTGCTTAATATTTTAGACGAACATCGTCTGCTGACGAAGGGCTCAAAGTGTGACTTTTTGAGAACCGCTTAGAATTTTTGGGGCACGTCATCTCAGAAGCTAGGGTTGAAATCGACCCTAAAATGTTTTCTTGGAATACCATCAAGCCATGCCACCAGTCGACAAACATCACGGGGCTGCAATTTTTTTGGGGGGGTTTGATAAATAAAATCATTGGTTAGTATTCGACATGGCTCTGTTAACTACCCCACTGACTGACTTACAGTGGAAGCGGGTCGCTTTTAAGTGGGGGGAGAAAGACCATGCTGCCTTCTTTGCCCTGAAAAGGGTCACGTGTTCATCGGTTGTGGTACGCATCATCGACCCACACCGCCAATTTAAAGTGGTTACCGACACCAACGACATCCCCATTGGAGAAGTACTTCTACGGTACTTCGGGGACGGCTTGCAACCCATCGCATATGAGTCACGAAAGGTTTATCCGCCCAAAAATCACCAGATACGTGACCGAATGCTCACAATCTTGCATGCATTCAAAGTGTGGCGCTGTTACTTGACTGGCGCAGAAGCGACAACTAGGAAAGACCACCGCTCACTACACTATCTTCACGCGGAACCATGCTTCAACCCACGACAGATCCGCTCTCGATTCCCTCGAGTCGAATTTTCACTACACGATCACCTACAAGAAGGGTGCCTCCAACATCGCCGACACACTAACCCGCCCGGCTGCCAGATACATGCAATACTAATCGCCCATACCAGCCCACTACTTACAGGACTATCGATCTATGTATACCAAACAGATCCATTCTTCACTAGTGGAAACTCGCAGCAGCACGAGGAGTGTATCGCGTAAATGCTGGCACCAACCGCATTTGGGTATCGGGCTACACCCTATTGCGGGAAGTACTAGTACAAGAAGCACGCGACGGATTGCCTGGGGACATTTTGGGATCGAAAAAACCAGATTGCATCTACCGCAGTATTATTCGTGGCCCGAAATGATGGCCGGCGTACAGTGACACGAGGCATCATGTCCCACTTGCTAGCTCATGAAATCATCACAATAGTGATATGCAGGGCAGTTGAAGCAGATACCACGCCCAAAACGTCCTTGTCAGCAGGAGATAATGGACTTTGTCATGAGGTCGGCTAGGGCAAGTGGGAATGAAGCGATACTCGTAGCCATCGATCAGCTAACAAAAATGGTCCATTTCGCAGCCTGCAAACAATAAATCTCAGCCGAAGAAACTGCATGGGTCTTCATTGCCACCGTCGTTCCGCTGTACGGGGTACCAACAGTGATCATCAGCGACTACAACAAGAAATCTACCAGCAGCTTTTGGCGGAACATGCGGCAGCAGTTCAGTTCATCGTACCACCCCGAAACCGGCGGTCAAGCATAACGCACTCATCAGACCATGGAGCAGTTGATTGAGCCACATGCAACGACCCAGTAAATTGGGAGCAGCAGTTACCACTGATCGAGTTCGCACATAATAATTCTACGTCAACAATCATGTAGTAGTCAGTGTTCTGTGTCGACTATTAACAAAACCTGACAGTACCCATGATGCCGAACCCCGACAAC